CTTTTTCTTTAGTCACCATCATCAAGTCACTCACAAACATGCAAACCGGTAGTTCACGCCAACAAGACAACACACAACATCGGGTTCTCAGTCATTCAGTTCATAATCAATGAAACAGTGATACATGCACACGAAACTATGAAATAAAAACATCAGACATCATACTGCATTTAAAACCGTAAAATAGAACAAACAACAACTGACCGACAAATACACTAGACTCGGGCTCCATTAGCAACCTTAAACAATTTCACACAGCTATTGATTCATGAAATACCATTTTATCATTTATTGCACTTTAATACCGTGATAGGAAATAGGGTGAGGAATCCTTACTTGTTTTCGGGGTCTGAATACGGCTCTACAGTGAGCCTACAGGCTGTCCCTAATTTTCCCTGAATTTTTCCAGGGAACTGAAACGCACTACTGGTACCTGCACGTGTCCCAAAAAAATCCCAAATTAGACCCGGGGCCCCTTTCGGCCAATATCGCAATTCCGGCACGGCGGCTCCGCCGTGCTCCGGTGGTGGCGGCGATTCGCCTCGGGTTGGCCGTTTTCGGCCGAATTCGGCCACACTTACATCGGTCCCTGCGATAAAACAACCCTAGGGCCCTCGGGGGGCCAAAAAATTACGAAAAACCAAAGCTTACCGGCGGCGGTGCTCTCGGGTGCGGCGGCTCTCCAGCGAGGTTCGTGTTTTGGTGATTTGGCTCCGATCAACCTGTAGAGAAAAAAATGGTGATCACGGTGATATAAAAATTGTATCAAACGGAGGCTGGGAAGGGCCTCATCGGAGGCAAAAATCGAGGAGGGGTGCGGCGGCGCCGCAGAGTTTCGGCCGTGTTTTCCGGCTGTTTGGCCGGGAGTTTGGCTCTGATTTGGCCACAGGGGAACTCAGCATTGAAAAACGAGCCGGGGGTATGAAATTTACCTCGATCGGCGGTCGGAAAACTCCCCGGTGCAGCGGCGGGTGGCGGCAGCCGGCTCCTCCGGCGTCTGGTTCGTCTTCTCCGACAAGGGCTGGTGGCTAGGGTTTTTGTGGTCAAGTGTGGGGGGTTTATTTATACCCTTTGCCTTTTAATCACAGCCGTCCATCTTGATTTAATCTGGGCCGTTCGATCGCGATTTAATTTGGATTAAATCTGGGCCGTCCATCGCGATTAAATCTGGGTCGTCCGTACTTGATTGAATCTGTGCCGTCCGTGCGCGTGCATCTGGGCCGTCCATGCGCACGCTTGATCTGGGCCGTCCGTGCGCGCGGGGACGCATCTGGGCCGTCCGATCGCGCGCACGCGGATCGCCCACATGGCCCGTTCCCGGGTCGGCGTGGCCTTGCCACGCGGCAGGTCCTAGTTGGCCAGGGCTGCTGACTGGGCCGCTGACGTGGCTGCTGACGTGGCGTTGACGGGGCACAACTTTTCTAAATTACGTTTTGACCCCCGGTTTCCGATTTCCTTTTCAAAAATAGCTCCAGAATCCAAATTTTCACTCATTTTTTCCAAAATCAATTTCAATTAAATCCAAATAATATTTTTACCCAATTTTATCATTATTATCATTTTTATTTTTATTAAATTAAATTAAATTAAATTAAATAATTCAATTAAAATTCAATAATTACAAAATAAACTAAATAAAATAAATTAAAAATTAATAATAATAATAATAATAAAAATGATAAAATTAATGGATGCTACAACAACCCTTCACAACCCCAAACTCAAAACCCCATTTATTCCCCAGCTTCACACTTCTTATATTCTCACATGTCTAGGAGTGTGCTACCCACTCTTGGAAGGAGAGACCCTAGGGAGAGTAGACAAAATCCACCATCTTTATAAAATGTCATGGGCCCAAATACATCTTTATTGACATCCCTCTACTTAGAGGGGACAAACCCAGAATGTTGATCAGGAGGTGCAACTCTTGGTCTACAAAGTCACAAACGATCAATAAGCGGAGCTACCACACTTTTCCTAGGTGGTAGTGTGGACAATTCATACCAGCGGTGCTAACGCAACATAGTGACGTGGATTTGGATGTTTTTATTGAAGAACCATGCAGGAGGTTCAGAGACTCATCTGTGGTTGACGTTGTAGAGAGTTCAACAAGTTGATACAAGTCAGGCCTTTAGTAGATTACTAAGAAAAGTTTGAGAACTTATGACTAGTAATGAAAAGAGATAACCCTCATCTCAGTGAATCTTATTTCATATCTTCTTTCATTTGTGGCTTAAATGAAGAACTCCGACCCACCATTAAAATGTTCAAAACCACAAACACTTAATATGGCTTATAAGTAACCCCAGCTTCAATCCTAACATATTGAAGCTATGCTCAAATGCCAAAAGTACCTTGGCCAAGTTCCCCAATGCATCTCTAGATGATCATACTCTTAAAAAGCCTCTCATGCATATTCCTCCCCAAACAACCCCTTCCAAAATAAACCTTCCCTAATTTATACTATTTGTGGTGAACATACTATCTGAAGTACCAGCACAAGGCAAAACAGGATCATCATGTTAGAAGGGACAGATAACAAGTAGGAGGCTAATGACCCAAAGAGGATCAAGAGGAAAAGTTGAATGAAGTCATGGAGGAACTCAAGAGCTCTCTCTCTAGGCCATGGAGAGGCAAGATAACAGGTCTAATGTGAACGTTTGGGGAACCATTAACTCCAAGCTAGTCTTGGTCTTGTTTGATAGTGGAAGCATACACACATTTTTGGATTTTGGAACAGCCAGGGGGTGAAACACCAGCCTCATAGCAGCAAAACCCCTCAATGTCATGTTGGCCAATGGCCAAGCAATGCCACCTCAAAATCACATAACTTAACCACAAGTTTCAAGGAATCTTGTTCAGATGCTCTTTCCAAATTATAAAAATGGGTCGTAGTGTTGATTGGATCTAGGAACTCAACCCTGTTTTTTTTTCCTTTTTTAATTTCCAAAAGCTTCTGGTGGAAATTACCAAAGGAGGAACGAGGTTGCAGCCATACAGATATCTCTAAGCTTCTAGTAGACAAATAGAGAAGCAGGTTACCCAAAAGCTTGAGAACTCAGTCATACAACCAAACGGCATCTTGTTCACCTCATCTTTCCTCGTCAAGAAGAAAGTTGGCACTTTGAGATTTTGCATCAACTACAGGCAACTTAACTCAACTACTGTAAAGAACAAATTTCCTATTTTAATGATCGGCAACCTCTTGAATGAATTAGGTGGAGTGGCATTGTTTTCCTAAGTAGGTTTAAGAGCAGGGTACCACCAGATCAAGATCAAGCCAGAAGATACCCGTAAAATGGCCCTTACGACCCCTATAGTGACTTTGAATTCAAATTGATGCCTTTTGCCTCACAAATGCCTTTGTGGCGTTTCAAGCACTGAAAAACAACATTTGCAAGCCATTTTGAAACCATTTTTGTAAGTCTTCTTCGATAACATAATGGTCTTTGGTAGGAGTCTGGATCAACACCTTGAACACCTCACCACCACATGTTCCACAAATTGAGACGGAACCAATTGTTTGCCAAAAGGTTGAAGTGCAGCTTTGGCCTGACTGAAATCAGGTACCTGGGGCACTTGGTTATTGCGACAAACCGCTCCAAAGAAGAAGTCAGGGTTTCATGGTCGCGACCCTCTGACATCATAAGCTTAAGGGGATTCTTGGATTTAACGGGATAATTACAAGAAGCCAGTGTGCAATTATGGAGTTATCAATGGGCCATTAACTAATCCAGTAAGGAAAAATAAATTTGGGTGGAACTTGGAGCTGAGGCAACCTTTGAAGAACTCAAAAGGGCCATGAGCTCAACCCTAGTTTTGGTAACCTTATTACTCTTTATCTTCTATTCTGAAAACTGACACTTGTGAAACAAGTCTAGGAACAATACTAAGAAAAAGGATAGACTGGCTTCACTATCTCTCAATGAGAGGGAACTGATGGCAAATATCATGGCAGACCTCAAGTGGAGATACCACTTGGAGGGGGGATAGTTTGTTATCTGCACGGCATAGTAAAGTATTAAATATTTTCTCAAACAAAAGATCCACACCTTTGTTCAGTAAAAAGGAATTATAAAGCTGCTTGGTATAAGTTATACAATTTAGTGTAAAAATGAGAAAGAAACCACGCCGCTGATCCGTTGTCCAGAAGGGGAACTGAAGCTGATTGGGAATTGGCAGGAATAACTGCCACAGTGAATCCCACAATCCCACCTAGATGGGAGAGATAAACAATTCATACACAAGGGATGAAAAGGCGAGTAAGCTACTTATAGAGCTGGTCGTTGCTCCTGGAAATAGACCTCCTTAATCCCTAGAGCAAGGGTTGGTACGGTATAAATGAAGGCTAGTTATTAGGCAAGCACAGAAGATTCCAATTAATGGTGAGCAAGGGTTCTTTTTCACAAATTCGTCTGGGTTTAGAACAGCTAGATTTTACCACATTTTTGGTTGCTTTTGTCTGATGACGATTATATATGCATGTTATACTAAGGACAATGGATATGAAAAGAGACTATGATTATCAGCTGTTTTCCTTCTGCTTCTCTCATGCTCCTCGCCTTGCTTCTCCTTTTTCCTCTCCTCTTTCTCTCTTCCCTCTCAATTGACAGCCTAGTTCTGGTTTCTTCCTCATGCCATGACATTGTTAATCCTAACGAGTCATTATCCTGACACCTTCTTTGACTGCAGCAGGGAAATGTTTTTATCTATTGGTGTCTCATGCAAAACAGAAAGATGAACAAACTTGAGGATGTTCGACAAGTTATAAAACAAGAGTTCTTGTTTGACATGGCTAGCCTTCTTTTGACAGTGGAATGTATATATGAAAAGATGGTTGTAGTAATCTGGTTGATGAACTTGCTGCGTGCAATACAACACAATAGCATTTTTTCCATGTTCAGTTACTGTGCTAAAAGTCACTTCGACTTATGTATATGTCTTCCCATGGTTTTGAAAATTCTGAAATTTGATGTTTTAAGACAAACAAAGTATATAATGTAGCAACTAATGATGTGCAGGGGGTGGATCAACTACATACTGCCATTGATTTTTGTCTTCTTTGCGATCATCATGCTCTGGCGCAGGCATTTTAACAGAGGGAAGCCATTGGAAGCCTTCAAAATTAAACCTCCACCAAATAAAAATGCAGTTGACAGCTGCTGACACTACAGGAAGCCATTAGTCAGTTTGAATCATTAATCCAAGCTGGGAATATCATTCTTTTGAAGATAAGAGCCATTTTATTTGCAGTACTACCACAGGTACATCTCCTAAACATGATATAGGTGCCTATTAAAAGTGTACACTATATAAACACGCGAATATTCATGTCATTTGGAGGCTAGCATTGTGATGTTGGACAAGAGGGGAAGAAGGGAACACTTAAGGAAAGAAAGAAGAAGATGGGGGATTTTGGGCGGGAGAGAAGAGAGAAGAAAGATGCATGGAAGAAACATATAAGGAAAGAGCAAATGAACAGAGAGAAAAGAAAAAATTATATTAAGAGAGAGCATTCTGAAATATAACATCTCATTGCACTCTAGATTAGTAGTCACTTTTTCCTTTTAAAAGATAAATCTAAAAGGAAAAAGATCAAAACTTTGTGAGTTCTAAACAATCTCAAACTATAATATTCCTAAATTACATAAATCTAGAGTTCCCTAAACAAACAAAGATCCTAACGCACTGGGCTAATTGGTTCTTCATCACATTGTCTGAACCATTCATTGACCTAAGTTTCCCCTCCTTCCATGTTAAGCTCAAATGCAGTGAAGAGGGCATAACCATGATTTTCTCAGGTGTTCTTGGATAATATAACCAATATAATAACCAGAAACTGCATCAAAATTGATGCCTAATGATGTGATGGGGTGTCAAGAAAGTAACTAATTGTTTGGATAAAATAATCAACAAGAACTTGTATCCTATGGGTCTCTGTTGTGGCAGATGTTCATACATAACACTAAGAGCATAAAATTAAGAAATAAAGGCCCGAACTCACATGGACAGTTGAAACATAAAACTGTCTGGAAGTGTCCATGGTAGTAGGTACCAGGGATATATTCTCCAGGGAGAAGTCAAATGTATATAGTGAGGGAACATCAAACTAGAGGAGGTGGTATTTTCTTATCATCTTTCTTGTTGTAAGAATTACTCAGCTGCAAACAAGGAAATCCTTCCTTCCAAGGAGTGTTGAACAATTATAACTTCTACAAAGCATGAAGAATACCCACCTTCTCCCTAATACTCTCTTTCTCTCTTTCTCTCTCTCTCTCTCTCTCACATAGAGCACTTTTTCATTTACCAAATTTAGGCTTAATTTTCTTGCATTTGTGTGGTTGATCATGCATTAGCGATATCAATGGAACTTTTTCTCTACTAATCACATGAGCTGTTAGTCATATTTCATATTTGTTATATGTGCCATTGCATTGTTTTAATTCGTTGTTGATCTAGAAAGCACTATGTTGGGGGTTCTCATCACTTTGGACAGAAAACTAATGAATGAGCATGTTGCATGAACTGTGATTGATAGATTGATAAAATAACCTTTCAAAAGATAATAGTCAACACTACCATATTTGATGTATGGTCCACAGCCAGGAACTTTTAACTAGCAAGTTAATCAGAAGTAGCAAAGCCCTCGTTTGCGTGAAGGCATCTGCTTCTAATCGTTGGTTCTCTTTGGTTCACGGGTAACTTGAGGAAAGCTTAACTCAAGGCTCCGAAATGTTTTCTTTTTTCTTTTTTTCCTGAAGAATCTGATTGTTTAATTTGCATTTTAAAAAAATGACACAATACTATAAATGCTTATTTTCATCTGCTTTTGATCGATGCCAGGCCACTGAAAGGGTTGCTTTTCTATTGGTCTTCATGGCTGCTAGCATTGCATTTGTTCCCTTCAGATACTTAGTTCTGTCAATATTCTTGGAGGCTTTCACAAGGGAATTTCCATACAGAAAAGAAAGCAGTGACAGGGTGCTGAGACGCATAAGAGAATGGTGGGTTGGAATACCAGCAGCTCCTGTTCAGCTCATTAGATCTGATGAGAAGAAAAAGAAATGATTAATGCTGCAAAGCACATTCATCTTTAAATTGGTGTCACAATGGAAAGCAAAAATTGTCTCTATATCTTATCCTTGACACTAGGCCTCCAGGTACATTTATCCTTGCAATGGCTGCCACCAGATCATTTACCACATCACTGTATCTCCAAAATCCTGCTGCTAAGGTGTGTCTTGGCATTGAGTAAAATTCCAAATCGTAGTTTACTCCACTAAGCATGGAGTATGGCTAAAATCAAACAAGGGCTGTTGGTTCGTACTCGAGCATTTTCTTAAAACTACATAGTATGCAAACGATCCTTTAGGTTAACTTGGACCCTTGCCCTTGTTTGACCAAATAACTAAGCAATAGATTGATGTGATACTACTTTTATTTTTGCCATTGGGTTATTAGCTTCTCAGATATTAGCATTTTTAATAACGGAGGATACAGCACAAAAATCTAAAAGAAAATAAAAATCTTTTTTTCATTTAGATAAATTAAAATTTAAAAGAAAAAATATTATAATAATATTCTATTTTATTGTTAGTCATGAAATAAATTATTAGTCATGAAAAGTAAAAATATCTTTTATTAATAGAATGTGAAGATAAAAACTTCAAAAAATTTTGAATCGTTTTCTTTTTTTCTTTTGTTCTTATCTCCTAATTGGGGAGAATGAGAAGTTAAAGTTTTAAAGAAGTTGTGTGCAATGTAGTTAAGAAGATCATATTTGTTAGATGCAACTTAAAATGATGTCTTTCGGAAAATATTGCATTGAAGAAGAAAAGAAAGAAAAGAGGCAAGTGTCCCTCTTAGCTTTGACCTAATATAAAGATGAATACATACTCACACCACTTTTTTTCTTTATTAATATTTATTTTCTGTTTAAAACGGATGAAAAAATATTAGACATTTTACTATTTCATAAATAATTATTGTATACTTTAAAAAGATAGATGAGATATGTGAACTCATCTAATCCATAACTTTTCTCCAATTGTGTAAACACGTATACTAGAATGTAATTGTTCTTAATAATGTTAATGTCCTAGTTAGCATTAAACTTAAACCTACCCTGAGGGTCATCAGGAGATGACCAATTCGTGAAAATGCTTTAACCTAATTGATGTAATGGGTGGAGATCTATTCTTACTTGTAGATTATGATAATCGAATCATTGTCTACAGCATTAATGACGACTCATTCTGAATCGTGTTGATCATACAAAATGA